ATCAAATGACCATTAATTTTTTTTGGAAAACAATTTTGCCCATATTTTTTTGGTTTCATTCTGAGACAAACATATATTTTCATTATATTCATAGTCTGTATTAGTTAAAGTTATTAGTAAAAATTAATGATTTGATAAATGTCGAACAATTGAAAGTTTAGTGTACTTTTAGCTCACAAAACATTATTTGAACAAACAGTACAAATGGACTCATTTTTTTAGTTATCACACGAACTATTGTTTAATGTACTAACGATTCAACTAAACAAATGACAGTTTGAAGTTTTGTCGATTACTGGCAAACCGTCGGTTCAACAATCAATTCCCAGTTCAACACCACTTGACTTAACCAATAAAAGTCATTTCTATCTTTCAATTTCACAAATTCTTTAATTTATAGTTACTATTGGAGTTCAAAATACAATTCATTTTAGTCTACAAAATATATTCTTTAAATCCATTTGACGGATAAATACTTATTCAACTTATTCAAAATTACTGACAAAAAATTACAAATTCTAGCATTATTCACAACTTATTTATCTTGTTGATAGAATATACTGTACAAATATTAGGTGTTTATATGATCCAATTATAACTACAGAGATATAAGTTCAGAATAATATCATTAAGATTATACATACATTTGCCTTTTATGTGATTTAATCCAGTTTCGAAACATGGGTTCATTTTTGTTAAAATATTTTAATGGTATTTGACTCAATAAAGTAATTGTTGGTATCTTTTGGTTTGTTTGCCATAAGGTGTGATGATTTTCTAAGGGCTATAAAATTTAAAAATATATATTATTTTTATAATAGTATTATAAAATTAAAAATTGCAATTATAGCACTAAATTTTAACATTTTTGAACATCCTGATAATTTGGATAATTTGGTAAATCGTTTCTTAGATTTATACTAAAATATTGCTTATTTAAGAATCTATTTAAAGTAATACTAATTAAATTGAAAGTCACTTAAACTTAATAAACGAATAATAATTTAATTCTCAATATTAAATATTTTAAATAACGAACTTTTAGATATAAACTAATAGTTTAAAAGTTAAACTTTAAATAATGATTTGTTACATACAATGCATTAATTAAGGTTACTTTAAATCATAATTTACTAATTATTTGAAATCCTTTTAAATTAGATTTTAGGTCATCAAAAAATAATATACTAAAACAATTGATTTGATTTTATTTTTAAGTATCTTAATCCTATAAAAGGCTAATTATAGGATTAAATAAAATCCTCTGGTCATTCACAAAATAAGTCGAAATTAATAACACATTTAATGTAAGCCTCGATAGGTTTTTATAAAATAAAACTTTGAATACAAAGTATTGTTTCATTTGATTAAAATTATAAGAAATTGTTTATTTATTTTAGTGATAAACAAATCGGTTAAAACTAGAAATATCTGGAAGTATATTTTAGCATAGGATTGCTTTTTGTTAAAATAAGATTTTGCTGAAGTATACCAAGAAATTACCGTAAATATTTATTTCTTTAATACAAGGCTTAATTGCTTTTAAAATTTAATAATCATTGATTAAATTTATATGAAATTTTAACTATGTTCATAATATGCTGAATTGTGTAAAAATATAGCCTACTCACTGTTGATAATGAACGACCAGGGTAATCACTGGTATCATCTTTTAAGGTGATGTCATTATTAAGAGCGGATGCCGTCTGAAACACCATCGATGAACAAATTGACGTTAAGATGATTACACATGACGTGAAGACTAGACCATTACTTAAAATAAAACTATTATTAGTTGCATTCAATTTCATATCTATAATGAAAATTGAATCCCAAATCGGAAATGAAAATCAATCTCAGCTTCTCTTTGAAGAGAAATTTGAGATGAATTTAAAGCATAAGAATTGATTGAATTTCTGTAT